ATGGATTGTGTAATGGTAAAAGATTAATCATTAAAGAGATGTGAAAGAACATTATCAATGTAATTGATGTTTCGAGAAATCGCGTTGGAGAAAAAGGTTTACATACCCTGAATAAAATTTGGTATCATCTGATAGAATTCTCAATATAATAGTCTTATGTTTTGCTATGACTATAAACAAAAGTCAATGTCAAACATTGTCCTTTGTTATATTATTTTTAACTAATTCATGATTTACTCATGGTTAGATTTATGTTACTGTTTCACGAGTAAAGAAAAAGACATGATTAAAAATATTGGTTCTAGATGAAAATAAAAACGCTTACAACGATACAAAAAATGTTGTGTACACTAAAGTCTTTCAAAAAATTTGGAATTAAAAGAGATTTTTTCGAGTACACTTTCAATTTCTCAAATATTATATTCTACTTTGTCATTGTTTTCCATTGATTAAAATTTGTGACAGAGATATATTTACTTGATTTTGGAATAAATATTTCATTGAAAAATTTCAAAATCGACAACAGTTTCGTTCGACCCCGTGCATGGCACGGGTCAAAATACTAGTGTATTAGATATAAATGAATACCCCCCGTATAAAAAGTTAAAAACTCAATTTTCAAAAAAAAGAAATACTATATGATATTACCCATAAAAAGTTAAAAACTCAATTTTTACCTAGGTCCCGTTTGGTACATGGAATTGAAATTATGGAATTGGATTTGGAGACTTCAATTCCAATTTTGGTGTTTGGTAGCACAAAAATTATGTGAATTTGGAATTGATAGTGCAAAAAATGAATTAAAATTGACAAAATTCAATTCTATGGAATTGAATCCCATGAAATTTCCATTCCAATTCAATTCTAATTCCATCAATTTCTTATATCAAACGATGCCTATAGTATTTACAAGTATCTTTTTTGTTGAGATGGTATTTCAAAAGTGGACTGGGGGCTCTTCATTTTCTGAATGGGGCACTCTATTTAACCGAGCAATTTTTTTTTCTTTTCTAAACTAGCCATGCCAATTGACATGGGGCGATTGCCCCCCATAGAATTAGCCAATGACCACACTAACATAAAATTATGGTGCATCCCTACAGTGTACTGAATGAGTTATAATTTTTTGGGATACAAATAACATTATCCTTTAAATAATATAGGATGTGAGAGTTGGACAAAATTCCCATGACATTAGGAACCAATGTCATGGGATGACTCGGGGGTGCTCCGGTGTCCCGTTCGTAAAATTGACGGTTCCTACCCCTCCTAATCCCCCCGGTAAACCCCTCCACCCGCCCTGCCCCGAACACAACCCTCACCCCCTTCAATTGCACCCACAAGTTGATTTTGACTTTAGAGTCAAAATTGACTCCAAAGTCAAAATCAACTTGTGGGTGCAATTGAAGGGGGTGAGGGTGTGTGTTCGGGTCAGGGCGGGTGGAGGGGTTTACCAGGGGGTTAGTAGGGTTAAGAACCGTTAATTTTACGAACGGGACACCGGAGCATTCCGAGTCATCCCATGACCTTGATTCTCAATGTCATGAGAACCTTGGTGGTGAGAGTTATTACTATAAACAAAACAAATTTAAGGGGTGGGAGAGCCCATGCGGAGGTCGTGTGGCGGTGTGGGCGGGCACAAGGGCATTTATATTTATGACACGCAAAGTCACAAATACCCCCTACAAAATTATACTACCTCCGTCCCGCTATATTCGTCTAGTTTTGACTTTTGGAACTGTTTATCTAAGCACTTTGACTCATCAAATTCTCTCAATGTGTAAGCCTAAATATAGTCATGTGTGATTTTGTTTGATTTGTCTTAACATATAGATTATTAATATATAATTTCTATAATTTTTTAATATACAAATTATAAGATAAAATGGATTTAAGAAGTGCATTAGATGGTGTGCAAAAATAAAAGTGGACAAATATAGTGGGACGGAGGGAGTATTAAAAAAGCTTACTAATTCTGGAACTATTATCGCAATTCGTTTTATATAATTTTTTTTTAAAAAATACAAATATCTTCTGGAAAGAAAGAGTTGGGTGAAAGAAAAGCTTACTTCACGAGCTCTCTTCTTCCTCTCTGAACTTATAAAGCCGATGATGATGTGTTGAAGAGATTGATTTCGAAACCCTAGACCTAGCTGGAAATTCGCTGATTGAGAGTTTTTTTTTTGAGGGGGGGGGGGGGAAGACTTCACGGACTGAAATTAGCTCTGCCTCTGTCGTCTTCAACCAGCTGTTCGCCCGCCAATCCTGTGATTCAAGCCCTTTCCACGTTGCAGTGAGCTTTGATTTCTCTTTAATTGCTTCAGATGCGATTGTTCTCTTGCATTTTCGGATGTATTTATTCGGTTCTAGGGTTTTTCTGATCGGGGATAAGGCGGGGATGGCTGACGAGGGTTTCTGGTTTTCCCTAGGTATTTGTTGATTATAATGCCGGTTCTAGCTTGTTTCTGAACTAAGGAGATGGATCGCGCGGCTCTGACGGTAGGACCTGCGATGGATGTTCCGATCATGCACGACAGCGACAGATACGAGCTTGTCCGGGACATAGGTTCCGGCAACTTCGGAGTTGCTCGGCTCATGAGGGACAGGCAGAGTAACGAGCTCGTTGCTGTTAAGTATATCGAGAGAGGTGAGAAGGTTAGTCTTCCTCTTCCAGTTCTTCTACTGAATTTCTTCTCAAGTTAGGCTTCAAATCACCGTCCTCTGTATTTTTGTGTGAGAGGGTGGAAGAAATGGAGGATTTAGCAGTGTATATAGGTTGGGGTAATTTGTACATGGGTATTGATGTGGATTTTCTGTAGCTTTCTGGTCCTACTTTCTAGAGTAACCTCTGAAATGGACAAACTGTTGGGGAAATGAAAAGAAAATGACAGTTTCTCTTCGTGTCCATACCTAATTGTCTAAAATTAGGTTACACTATGAATTCATGAGAAAAAAACTACCTCTTTTGTAGCAACCTTCTTGACAAGGAATAGAAGTTAAACTTAGTTTTTCTACTTGCAAGAAAAATATCATGAAAAAGGTTCTCTAGTCATGTACGTCCCATTACAATATTGATACAATTGATATGCATATTTTGGAACACTTCCGCTTGAATTTTGTTGCTGTTTATGCTTTTGTTATCCCTCTTCTTGCTGCATTTCTTGAGCTAACAATTGCACTCATTTTCAATCTTATTATTGGATGGAAACTTGACTAAGGAAGCGATGCATATTCTTTTGCTAGATGGAAGCTATAAATAGAAAGTGGTGTTGCATAAGAACAATGATCTTTAATGTAGCCAATTCAGGATTTTTTTTTGTGTAAAAAAACAATGCATTTCCAATTAAATCACACATCATTTTCTATCAATTCTTATGCATCCGAGATTAGTAGACTGGTTTACCTTCTGGGTTTTACTAGACCGGCGAATTTTAGTTTGTTATCTTGTTTAGCCATTGATTATATTTGCCATTATCTTGCATTCTGTAGATTGATGAAAATGTGCAGAGAGAAATTATAAACCACAGATCATTAAGGCACCCCAACATTGTCAGATTTAAGGAGGTATGCTCAGACCAAAGTTTATTTACATCTTCGTAGCTCTCATGCTTGATTAACCACACTGCTATTCATGTGAACATATGTTCCAGATCATATTGACACCAACTCATCTGGCTATTGTAATGGAATATGCATCTGGTGGGGAGCTGTTTGAGCGGATTTGCAACGCTGGCCGATTCAGTGAGGATGAGGTTTTAGTGAATGCATTAAAAAATACTCCCTCTGTCCCAAAAAAATCTTTATCCATTTTGACTTTCAAGGAGAAAAAGAAAAGTGTTTGGTTAGAATTTGTTTGCATGAGAGAGAAGCTTGTGAGCCGCATGTTCATTACTAAAAAAGAGAATAAAGTGTGAAGTGTTTTTGGGGGCATCTCAAAAAAAGTGTGTATTATTTTCTTGGGATGGATGGAGTATGTTGTTGCTTGATTCTTGCCTTTTTTATGTTTGAATTGTGCATTAGAAATAATTGGATTGCAGGCACGGTTTTTCTTTCAGCAATTAATATCTGGTGTCAGCTATTGTCATGCAATGGTACTTGAAATAAACTTTTCCTTAAAGAGTTGTGATATTAATAGTCAATTTATGTACTTTATTAGCAATGAGCAAACATAATTCTATTCTAACACTGCATTGAATGCAATTTGTTATGTAGCAAGTATGTCACCGAGACTTGAAATTGGAAAACACATTACTTGATGGGAGCCCAGCTCCACGACTGAAGATATGTGATTTTGGGTATTCAAAGGTACTTTGAAACACTGTTCTTTTTACAGCCTTAGTCTACACAGGATGTTTTTTATCTTTTAGGTTACATTATTGTATTTAGTGTGTGTTCATAACATTTATCCACACATTGGATAACACTCTATGTCACTCCTTTAAGGCTATGTTTGGAACAAGAAAATAGTAGGGGATGGATGGAAAATGCCAACATAAATGATTTTTTATGTTCGGATTTACCTTGGAAAATACAAAGGAAAATCAAACTAAACTAAAACTTCAAAAATTTGAAGTATATTACAGAGCAGAATTTTAGTCTATTTAATAGACATATACTACTAAGAAATGAGTTTGAATAAAAATCTAAAAATTATGAACTCTTTTTCCCCATAGTTTTTTTCCTCCCAAATTTTCAATATATCTTCTTCATGTTTATCCCCTAGTAATTCTGTGTTCCGATTAGATCACAAATGTTCACGAAATAGCTATAAATACACAGCGCTGCAATTTTTTTTGTTTTCCTATAATCTCACTTTCTTCCATTTTATTGTTCACAATCATTCATTTCTGATCATTGGTTAAATTCTGATTCTTTTTTTTTCAGTCCTCCGTGCTGCATTCACAACCAAAGTCAACTGTTGGAACTCCTGCCTACATTGCACCTGAGGTTTTGCTGAAGAAAGAATATGATGGCAAGGTGAAACCCCTAAATTTTAATTTATCTTTATAGATTTGTCTCATGCCTATGTGTATATATAGGATACAGATAGAGATAGTCATCTTGGAAATGTCTGTATTGTAAACAGATCGCAGATGTGTGGTCTTGTGGGGTAACCTTGTACGTAATGCTAGTTGGAGCATACCCTTTTGAGGACCCTGATGAGCCTAAAAACTTCAGAAGGACAATACAGGTAGCGCCTTATGCTCTGTTGTTCCTGCATGGTTGTACTGGGTTGACTTTCTTAACTTAAAGACTTTGGCTGTTCTTTTGTGCAGCGGATATTGAATGTTCAGTACTCAATACCAGATTATGTCCACGTCTCCCCAGAGTGTCGCCATCTGATCTCACGGATCTTTGTGGCTGATCCCACACAGGTTGGATCACTAGTTCGTAATGTTGGTATAAGTTTTATTGATGCATTCATTAGATTCAATGTGGTTTTCTGATCTAAAACTCTATTCCATTTGATATTTGAACTATTCTGAATGCTTCCTCATGTATTTTAATAATCACGACGCTTTTTTGACATCATAGTTTATCCCTTGCTGTATATAATCTGTCAATCTCTACCCAGTGTAGTCCCTCAACTACACACTGTAACTGACCATTAAATCAAAAAAAAAACTGATGACAAAATTGACCGTTAGTGTATAACTGGGTGACTAAATTTGATATTAACTCAAATCCCTATGGAATAATCAGTATACCCACTCCATATTTATTCAAAGGTACATATGTAGTTTTACAGTACACTCAAAGAGAACCCAAGAAGGTCTTTTAGCCTTTCTCTTTAATGCACATCCTGAGAATCCAATTGTCGAAAGAAATAGATGGAATCAAGTTTTGGATTTGAAGATCACACCCCGTATTAGAATTTTAGGACATGATATACGGAGTATTTATTTCTTTATTTATTTTGAATTTTCATTGGCTTTTAAAACCAGAGGATATCCATTCCCGAAATCAAGAATCACGAGTGGTTCCTGAGGAACCTTCCAGCTGACCTCATGGACGACAACAACTCAAACAACCAGTTCGAGGAGCCTGATCAACCGATGCAGAGCATAAATGAAATAATGCAAATAATTACCGAGGCTACCATCCCGGCAGCCGGGTCTAACAGCCTCAACAGTTATCTCACCGGAAGCTTAGACATGGACGATGATGATGACGAGGAGCTGGGGAGTGATTCCGACATCGACATTGACAGCAGTGGTGAAATCGTATATGCAATGTGAGATATATTTGCCTATATAGCTGTGAGTGTGTGTGAATATTTTACAGGCAAACCCGTGCACTCCATGCCTCTTTCTTTTTTTTTTCCGAACTGCGTGTTTTGTTTCGTTTTTTGTGCTTTGTGTAATATGCATTTTCTCTTTTCTCATCACACAGACATTGGTGTACCCTGAATCTCTGATCATAGATCATATACTTTCTCTGTTGTAATTGAACAGTAATCCCTCTCTAGTAACCTATTTGCTTCATGTAATTTGTGAAGGTAAACATACAAATATGAGTGCATATAGTCTGTATGATTTTTGAATTTAAAACATAGACATGTACTTGAAAGTAAATTGATTCATATAATTACATGAACAGTATTCTGCAGGAAGGAAAAAAATGGTACAAGTTCTATTCAATTAGAGTATACTAAAACTTTTCTTGATTAAGTATATATTCGCACGACAAGCTCTTTGTGTTTTCATTGGGAGAAGCCAAGGCCTGTGCTGATTTTGCCACTTAATATCCTTGGAAGATTGGTGGTGGCGGTGAAGCATATATAGACCCCAAATTGGGAGGAAGTTCTACGTCCTCAAAGACAGGTGGAGGGGGAGATTGCACTGGTGGTGGTGGTGGTGGTGGAGATTGCACTGGTGGTGGTGGAGTAGTTGTAGGTGATGGCGGTGGTTGAACTGGAGGAGAAAAGTGGGCCGGTGGTTGTTTATTATGAGCTGGCGGTGTTGACTTAGAGGCATGTGGTGCTGGTGGTGGGGGAGACTTGGATTTGGGTGGTGAAGTTGGTTTATGGGTGGATGGTGTTGGTTCATGAGGAGGCGGTGGCGGAGAGCCGGGTGATTTGGATTTGTGTGGTGGAGTTTGTTTATGAGTTGGCGGTGTTGGTTCATGAGTTGGGGAATGATGTGGGGGAGGAGGCGGGCTGGAGGATTTGGATTTGTGTGGCGGAGTTTGTTTGGGAGTTGGTGGTGTTGATTCATGATGAGGAGGAGAGGACTTGGGTTTATGTGGTGGAGTTTGTTTCGGAGGTGGTGGTGGTTCATTAGTCGAGGATTCGTGATGAGGAGGTGGTGGCGGGTGTGAAGATTTGGTCGATTTGTGTGGTGGAGTTTGTTTCGATGCTGGCGGTGTTAGGTCACTAGCCGGGGCATCAGGGGGAGGTGGAGGAGAAGATCTGGTTGATTTGTGTGGTGGAGTTTCTTTGTGTGTTGGTGGTGTTTGTTCACTGGTTGGGGCATCGGGGGGAGGAGGAGATTTGGTAGATTTGTGTGGTGGAGTTTGTTTTGGTGGTGGTGGCGGTTTAGGAGTTGAAGGTGCGGGACTAGAAGGCTTATTGCTCTTGTGTGGCGGAGTTTTATGGCCATGTGGTGGCTTTTCTTTCCCCGGCTCTGGTGTGGGAGTCGGGGAGCTTGGAGTTAGCTTCTCCTTTGTTGGTTCCGGAGCTTGGGCGCTCGGACTTGGAGAAGCCCTCTCATATCCTGGCTCGGGAGTTGGGGCAAGAGGGATGGAGGGGCTATCGGCCTCAAGTGAGAGTGGTTGTGCCTCGGGACTTGAACCCGGAGCAAGAGAGATTGACGGGCTTGGAGCTTCTGGTGTTGAATATGGAGCTGGAGAGATGGTTGGGCTTGAACCTTCCGGTGTCGGTGATGGAGATCCGATATTAGATGTTGGCGAAGGAGAGCTTGACGGGCTTGAACCTTTCGGTGCCAATGTTGGAGACCCACTCGTGCTAGGTGTTGGGACAAAAGAGCTTGAGCCCTGAGGTGTTGGAGTTGGAGCTTCCTGACTAAAAGATGGAGGCAAAGAGATTGACGGGCTATATGGTTCCGGCGCAAACGATGGTCCCCCTGGACTAGAAGCCGGGACCATGTAGATTGACGGACTGGGAGCATCTGGTGCTAGAGTTGGGGCACTAGGGCTCAAGTCCGGACTAAAAGCTTCAGGTGCAAATCCTGACGCATCCGGGCCCGGAGCTAAAACCCCTTGTCGTGGACTAGAAGCCGGCACAACAGATATTGAAGGGCTGGGAGAGTCTGGTGTCGGCGTTGGAGCTTCACCACCCGAAGCCGGCGAAGGAGACACGGCTGGGCTATAGCCTTCTGGAGTCTCGTTGTCGGAAGTCGGAGGAAGAGAGATTGACGGGGTGAAAGCCGTCTCAGGCACCGGAGCCGTAGCCTCTGGAGAGGGAGAAGGCTTAGGAGGCGGTGGAGAAGGAGATGACTTAGGAGGCGACGGTGGAGAAGAAGAGGAAGAACCTTTTGGTGACTCCGATTCATGGCCGGAATGCTGCTTATGCGATCTCGGACCAGTTCCTTTAGGTGCCCCTCTGCAACCGGATTTACTGCAATCTACCGGTTTGCTCAAAACCCGGAGACATTCTTTCTCTGATTTCTGCCCTGGCCTTCCTTCCAAACAGTTCCCAGAATCATTCAGATCAATCCCGTCTTGCGGCGGCACACATGATGCGTCTTCTTGTTCGAAATAGTTGTTGGCGAATGAGAGGTTCTTGAGCTCCGGCAAAGAACAGAGTGTGTCCGGGACGATGCCGGAGAACATGTTGTTGGAGAAGACCATGCTTTCCGCACTCTGCATGAACTCCAACCCCACCGGCAAGTCTCCGACGAGCTTGTTATTGCTGACGTCAAACACCGTCAGGTTCCGGAGGAACGTGATTTCCTCCGGCAAGCAACCGGAGAACTCGTTGTTTAATGCTAGGATTTGCTCCAGGCTGTCCTCCATTCTCCCGATGCTCTTCGGAATGCATCCGGTGAACTTGTTGTTCGCCAGGATGATCAACGAGGCGGTCGAATTCCCGAAATTCTCCGGGAGGTTCGACTCGAACCGGTTGTTGTTCAAAAAGATGACGTCCATACCTGGCTTGTCGAACAAACCGGGCGGTAATTTCCCCTCGAAGTCGTTAAACCGCAAATCAAGGAACTTCAACGGGACTTCGAGAACGACGTCCGGGAAGGGCCCGACGAAGCGGTTGTTGCTGAGATCGAGCTCGTAGAGGAGCTTCAGCTTGGAGAGACTCTTGGGGATGATTCCACACAGGCGGTTGGAGTTCAAGTGGATGACGGCGACGTCCGTCAACAACCCGATCTCCACCGGAAGGTGGCCGGCGATGTCGGCGTGGTTCAAGTCAATGCCGGCGACCACCCACGACTTCGGGTCGTCGAGCGCGTGGTCGCAGAACACTCCGTTGTACGAGCAGACGTCGGGGCCCACCCAATTGGCGGTCGTCTTCTTCGGGTCGGAAAAAATGGCGTCCTTCCACGCCTGTAACGCCACGTAAGCTTTCTTCTGCCGGTCATTGGCGAACTTCAGCTTCGCGTCGACCTTGATCTCGAAGTCATTGGGAATGTCGAAGTCTCCGGAGCTGAGGAGCTGGCGGCGGGTGATGTATTCGACCTCGGCGGTCGTCAAAGCGTGGGAAGAGGAGGAGAAGGACGCGACGGCGAGGAGGAACAGGAGGGAGCCCACGGCCGTCGTCATGGTCGGAACGTTAGCCAATGGTCGCCGCTGCAAATAAATTGGCCAAAGGCCGGTGACAATTTGAATTGGAAGGAAGAAGGGGAAAACGGTATATATATATATATACGGAGGGTTAAGATGTTCCATTAATGTTGGAAAGACCACAAGTTTTTTTGAGGGAAACATGAAACCTCGGAGGGCGCTACATTTGCCATTTGATTTGGATGGGTATGCTAATTTCAATGGTTATTCTTAATTACTCAGGATTATTTTTCCATAAATTAGTTACGGTATACTTTTGTTTTTTTTAATACGGAGTAGAAAAAAGTAATGATGTTTATGTTTAAAAAAATGGGTGACAAGTGACCAACATTTTGTCATGCGAGTGGCACTGTTTAAATTTTTTATTATCTAAATTTTGTTTTTACACCTTTAATTGAGTACATTTTTTCTTTATAATAGATCCGGAGTATGTAGTAGTTTGATTATTTTTATTATTTTATTTCAAGCAGGATTTTAGATTAGTGAATTGTTTCACATTAAAAATTTCTAATACGAACTGGAATCATTTCTTTGTGTGACACATCAAGTTTGTGATTATTTTACTACTCCGTATATAAAGTGTGAATATAAGATTATTTTTATTTGAAATAGAAAATATTCAATTATTTGTGTCAATTTTTTCTTTCAATTAACAAAAAAACAAAAAACTGTCTTTTGGAACTTGAGTTAGTACTAAGAAGAAAAGTTTTTGTCTAAATATGCTTTGAGACAAAAATAATACTTCCTCCCTCCTTGAGTATTTGTCCACTTTTGACTTTTTTTTATCAAAATTGGCAAATTTTGAACTCAAATTAAATAAAAATAATATTAGATATTGATACAAAAAAGTTTTATTATGTTTATTAAATCAAATATCTTCAAAATATTAGTTTATTTAATTAAAATATAATATATATTTTATTTAATTATAGGTCAAAAGTTAAAAATAGTTGACCGAAAAAAGTCAAAACTGGATAAATACTCAGAGATGAAGATAGTAAGACATAATTTGTATAATTAGGATAAGTTGAAAAACCAAAAGCAGTTGAGGCAAATTAGGATAAGCTAGAAAAAATAGGAAAGAATTGAAAACTATTTGACAAAATAAAATTATGGAAATAAATATATACGTAGTAATTAAGATTTAAGAATTAAAAGTTATTGTTGTAATAATAAAATATAAAGAGTGAATTACATGAATGATTTCTTTATAATTGATGTGTCGTTTGTGGATTGCAGTCACTTTCAACACTAATCATAGTATATAGATGTGGACTTTTGTGAGAATCTTAGTCTACAACCATACTCATTATTGTAGTATTGTTTGTTTAACCGATATTAGAATTGATGGGTGTATTTCACCCAAGACCGGTCAAAGAAGAAGGCCAAATCGTTGACCGGTCAATCTCGAGAGTTTTGGAAGAGAGACTTAAATCGTCAGCAAAACGACATATCATCGGCCAAAATATGACCGGTATACTTCACAAAAAAGTATACCGGTCAAACTACGTTGTCGTCCTATTTATTCCAGACTTCGATAAATTCATCCCTCGGAGATTACCCGGTGTAGTTTCTGGGGTTGGAAAGTGTCGGCAGAAGAGGATCTGCGAGGGCTTGGCGTGTAGCGACCCGTGTCAGTAGAGGACAACTGGAGATGCTGAAGAATCCATCCAAGGCACTACTCGACAAAGGGAATGATCCCCTTCACAAGGCGACAAGGCAGCTTGAGGACGAAACCAGTCACCTTGCACCACATCAGCAGCATGCCCCCACGTGGGCGCACGTGGTCCTGTCCCCTTAGCCTAGTATAAATACTCATGTAAACCTCAGAAAGAGGGATCCGAATTCATTCTCTCTAAACTCCCTTGTAAAAGCACCCGTGCATTCTCCGTTATAATATAAATCGGGCTACAGGTGTTCCACCTAAAGTCCTACCGGTCAATTTGCGTGTTTTTACCTTTCTTACTTTGCCAAATCAAGCGAACTATTCTAGACCCGGTCTAGTATAGTTTGACCGGTCAAGTAATTTACACCATCATTTTTGGCGCCGACCGTGGGACCGTTAAG